CTCTCAAAGAAAAAGAGTAGAAGTTCATCTCATCAATATTGCTTGGGGGTACTAATTCTCCTCCTTGTGGCAACTGGTGACTCACCTTCATGGCGTCTCATTTCTTTGCAAGTACAATATTTTTATTGCTTGTTTCTGAGCACATGTTCAGCAGATACGGTCTTTTTTTGTGGGCTTCTATGTGTTGTGTATTATAAAAATATTTTTGCTTTCACTGAGGTTCTAGAAGTTTCAATGATTCTGCTCCAATATTTGTTTTAATTTTTCAGTATGTGATTCCCATAACATGCAGTGAGGTAAATGTAGATCCCTCCTAACCACATATGACATAGGCCTGGGGTTTTTATTTCTGCTCATGGCTCCAGAGAGAGCATAAGACTTTTCATGGCTTACTTTCCAAATCCCATTCTAATGAACAGAGAAGCTACTAAGGCTTTATCCAGAGGTTTCAGTGAAGGTTTCTCTGCCTCTGGTGGACTTGAGGCTGTATTGCCAGTACTTGCCTGAGCACTAGATTCCCGGCTCAGAGCCCCTAGCCCCTAGGGCCTAATATCTGGAACCAGTAACTACAATAGGTTATTGCAGTGTCCATTTACAATTACTAGACTGGCTTTTTTCATTTTCTCTGAAGATTTTACTTTTTATTTTTTTAAGTTTGACTATAAATTAAAATTTTTGTTAGTTTATCTCATGTTAATATGTGTTTGTATTTGGAGGGGGTGCTATTTATGTCATCTTAGTGCGCTGTACAGCCAGAAGAAAATCATATTTATATATATGATTTTGTGCTGTGTTTATACTTTAAGAATTTTCCCTTATCACATCCGTCCTCATAAATATGAACTTCTCTGAGTTCCAAGGAAATTAATCCACCTCGGGATCATCTAGATTAAGGGCACATATGAGGCCAGATCTTTGCAGCATGTTGCATCATTCTCCAGATATACCACCTACATAGTTTAAATACATCATTCCCCTGGGGTCTAAAGTTCCTTAGCAGAGTGATTTTCAACTTTAAAACATTTTAGTAGCAGAACTTTCTTCAAATATTACTTGGAATTTCCAAATACAAAATCAATAACTCTTCTTAATGATTTTATATTTCAGAGTTCCTGATCCTCACTAATTTGCCCCTCCTCTTGTTCCCCATGGCCATCTTCATAGACTCTTCTGGCCCCAAGTACCACAGTGTGAAAACAAATTGAATAGATCAGTGGTTGTCAAAGTGTGGTCCCAGAGCCAGAAGCATGAGCATCACCTGGGAATGTGTTACAAATGCAAATTCTCAACCCCCCTCACCGGCCCCATCCCAGATCTACCGAAATCAGAAACTGGGGGCAGGACCCAGCCACCTGTGTGTTAACAAGCCCTCTAGGTGACTCTGATGCACGTTTATGTGTGAGGCCTTACTACAATAGGGCATCCCATCCAGGAGCTATTGGAACAAGGCTGGAGTACTGCCCAAGATGAACATTTCTGGGTGCTTAAATAAGCCCAAACTTATCTGGCAGGCTGTTTTCCATCCACTGTTTTCTTGTGCATGAAGGCCATTATAGACCCTCGCAAGGTCCAACTTTGCAATGACCAGGGTCCCTTCGAATTGGTTCAATAAGTGAGACATCACTAGGAAGAGTACGAAATCCTTACTTTCAGTTCATTAGACAGAAATAATGACATTCCACATAATTTTGCTTGATAACAAGACTTCAGATCTGAAGCTCACAAAATAATGTTGAGCAAAAGAAGCCAGACACAAAACTGTACATACTGAACATTTCCATTTATAGATGGCATTTTAAAAGGCAACACTAATCTACAGTGAAAGAAGTCAAGATAGGGATTACCCTTTGGGGTTATTGACTTGAAGGAGGCAGGAAGGGGGCCTGACTTATGGGTAATGTTCTATTTCTTTATCTGAGTGCTGTTCACAGAGATGTGCTCATTTTACAAAAATTCATGAAGTTGCACCCTGATGATATATGCATTTCCTGTATATCTGACATGCTTTGATGCAAGAATTTAAACATAGCATTAAGTCAGTGTGTAAATGATACACTGCTGTGGGTGCTGGGCTACATACTCTCGGAGGATGGGGGCCTTTGCTTCTGGATGTGAAATATACATTTGATGCAAACATAGGTTCCTAGCACCAGGTCTTTTGTATTATGGCAATGAGTAGTATGGAGGCCACTCTGTTTCTTGATTGGAAAAGACCTCTTGGTTGATGGCATCCCTGATCAGGATTCCCAGTGGAAGGGGAAGAAGTAAAGCAGTTACCTAATGTGACCTGTAAGCCAGAATAAGTTTCAGCACCTGGTTACTCCAGGAAATGGGAAGTGATAGGGTTCTGGATTTCCAATTAAATCAGGCCAAGAACCCATAGGAAGCATGTACAGTGGATGAAATGTAAGTCCCCGTGAGTTCTGTGTGTGGATGAGCTCCCAGGTGCAAGCACCCATCTTTTGCCTGTACCCTTCTGGGCTCAGATCATAAATCCACATATGAACTGAGATTCCCTGGCCTTACCAGCTTGTGGAAGTAGAGAGTCTCAATTAAAGAACGACCTTAAATTTCACCAGCTCTTGCCCGTATCTGCTCCTACCGGAATTCCAGTGCCCATGTAAAATAGCCCAATGCTGTCTGAAAGTCCTCAGTTATGTCAGAAACCAATCTGTTTTGGGCCTTTCCCATGTTCCTCCTCACTTAAGTCTGTGCCCCATTTTTGTGTGCTTTGTCCATGAAGCTGCTTCAAAATTACTTATCCCTCCCCTGCCACCCCACTGCTGCTGTTCCCACCATGGGAACGTTGAAGAAGGTGCCAAGGGTGCTACCTCCTGACCCCCTAAAGGCCCCGACCATGGAGGTGCTCACCAGTGTATCAGACATGCTCAAACATGCCTGAATTGCATTTGAGCTCAAGCTAACACATACCTGCACAGTACACGATGCCCTGGGCTCCACAGTGATGTGATCTGAAAGCAGGCCCTGCTGCTGTTACACTCCACGGTTCAGTTGGGAGTTCGTGATGGGGAGAGCATAGGGCTGGGCTCGAATGGCTCCCCTGTTGCTGAGGGACAGTGGTGTTTGCCAGACAGAGGAGGTGAATGTTTCAATCAGAAAGTGCCAGGTACAGCTGCTCCCTCTGGTGGTCTATGCCTTTCACCAGTGGGGACAGGGAGGTCAGTTTCAGTCTCAATGCCATTCATATCTTAGACCTATTCCTGAGTATAGGGTATTTAAAAGACAGTTTCTGTATCAGATGAACCCAGAGTGAGGAATGTTCTATTAAAAATGCTAATGCCATACAAGATGCAGAAAGGCTGTGGAAATATTACCGATTAAAGGAGGCTAAAGAGACATGACAGCTAAAAGCAACACCTCATCCTGGACCAGATGCTATGACGAAGAGGGAAAATGCTATTAAGGACATTACTGGGTCACCAGACAAAACTGGAGTACAAGTGTAGATAACAGTATTATATCAATGTTAAATTTGCTGAAGCAGTTAACTATACTGTGATGTAGGGATTATGCCTAATTGTAGGAAGTGCACACTGAGGTACTTGGGCATAAAAGGCCATGATATAATTTGGCCTCAGTTGGTCCAAACACACACACACACGAGTGCATAGATGCAAAGGGGGTAAAATGTTAGCAATAGGTAAATCTGGTAAAGGGTATATGGATGTTCTTTAAACTGTTTAAGTTTCCTGTAAAATAGAAATCACTTCCAAATAAAAGTGTTTTACAAATGTCAAAGTGTCTGTGCAAGCAGTCAGGATCTGGTGGACATGCCTGACTGAACTCTTCCTGTGGGAGGGATGAGGAAGGAGGACGTGGCTGTCTGCCCAGGCAGGGCTCCCACACATCCCAAAGGGAAGTCAGATACCTGCATGAAGGTGCCAAGTGGCATCCGAGGCCACTTGCCTCTTGCTCTCCCCCAGCCTACAAGATACCAAAAGTAAGACTTTTTACATTTTCTCCTGAGGATAATGAGCCCTGGGAGTGGGGAGTGAGGAAAATTTGGTTATAAGGGAAGGTGTTTGAGTTCATTCATCCATCCAGAAAATGTTTCAAGTACTATGTCCTAGGGGCTGCTCTAGGGACTGAGAATGCAGCCCAGGGTACAGGAGGAGAGACAATCCCTGTCCTAAAAATGCCTGTGAGCTAGTTGGGGATGCAGCCACAACCACACAAATAAACATATACTACCAAATGAACTGACCATGAAGTAGACTTGGGGGGCTGTGGGAGGAGCCCAGCCTTTTACCAGAGCCAGTGGATGCAAGTCCCACGGGTCTGAAATGTTTAGTTCCCCTCCCCCTCATATTTTCTAAGTAATATGTCCTTTTGTATCTGATGAAGAGGATAAAAGAAGGAACCACCACCAGGGCTTAACCCGTCCTGGGCACATCCCATCTGTTTGGGCTTAGCCCTCTGTGAGAATCAGGGAGGGGGCCAACATGCCACTCCCCCACTATCCCTGGGCTGGTAGACCAGTGAGCTTTGGAAGTTTTTTCATGATCTATGCCAGCAGGTGGATGCAGCCATGTCCATAACACTTGTGGAGGGCAAAGACCACCAACACCCTCACGTGGAAGCCGAGCAGCCTACTGGCCCCGAGTCCCATCCCTGGGGTGCTGAGTCATGATAACAACATGAGTCTTCCAACTGGACAGAATAATGACTTTGAGGGGGGACACCTGTGATTCTCCCCCCAGTCCTGAATGTGGCACTGACTGTAATGCCCTGTACCCAAGGGACAATAGTGGAATCCACTGCCTTGGGGGCTCAAAAAAAAAAAAAAAAAAACAGTACTGGGGAGGAAGTTATAAGTGTGTGTGTGTGACTGCATCTGACACAGTGTGTGTCATTTTTGTCCGTGGGTCTCAGGTAGGGCTGACCCTCACCTCTAACGCATTCTGGTCCTGGACCAAAGAAGTTTCAGATGCAACAAATGTTCACTGAGCCCGTACAAAGTCCCAAGCCTTTTTAATTAATACTTTGACACATTTTATATCACTTAATCTTTAACAATAACCCGTTAAGGTAGGAATTATCTGCATTGTACAGATGAGAAAACAATCGCAAAGAGGTTCATTGATTTGCTCAAGTATATCATACAGCTTTTTTTTTTTAAACACTCACACACTAAACTCTTAGCTGAGGCCTGTCTGTGTTGGTTTATTTTACAGTGTTTCTTGTCTTCTCTACCTTTGGAGCAATTGCTCCCCTTATACAAAAACCCCCTTTTCTTGTTTCACAGGCCCACATGGGCTTTTCTTTGTTTAATACTGCATTTAATAGCACAAAAAAATCACGAATACAAAGAAACTGGCAAAGGTGTTTGTCAATGAAATATCCCTGCTTCCTCCGCTTTTCCACTTTCCTACCCATATATGTAATGGGCTACATTTGTATAAGCTTTTCTTTTTTCTCCCCCAAACATATAACTGTTATGTGATTGGTCAGTTGAAGCTGAAACACCCATGGAGAAAGATGTTTTACAGTTACAAGGGCACACATCCCCCCCACACCACCCCCCTCCCACCCCACACTTTCCCACACAATCTTTTGGAGGAATATAGGATATGGACCAGTGTCTGATTTCCCTACTCCTGCCTGCCCCGCCCAGAGCATCCTGCCATTTAATCTTCCTTTAAGTGACTGCTTAGACTAGAGCCTCTTCTCCCACCCCTTCTATTCCTCTTACAATCAGGACCTTTTAGACACTGGAAACTGTTCAATTCTTACTCTATCAGGCCCGTGGGCCATGCAAGTAGGTCCTTTAAATCTTGATGCCAGTTGTAGTATGGGCACTGTCATCTTCCACTCCAGGTAGGTAGGTCTGTGTGTCACTTCAGTAGGCTTGTGTACTCACTTCTTTCACTTTTTCTGATTCATGTTCCAGGACCTGTTTGTGATAGAACAGTAAATACCCTTCACTGTCCAGCACATCCTTAATACTGGCCTTGGTGATGACAGCATCATCACACTTGAACCACTGGTCCTTGTGGTGCCGGATGAAGCTGGTGTAGTGGCCACTCTCCAAGGTTCCTTGGTGATTAACCACAGCAAACAAGGAATACTTATTCTCATCGTTTCCACTATTGGTTGGCAGCTGCAACTGTCCATTCATCCTGCTCTCTTTACTCGAGGCCATGAACGGTGTCATATCCAGCTCCAGAGGAAAGGATATGTATGTAGTGATCTTGCGCCTCTGTTTGGCTGAGTGTTCAAACCGTTTGAAATGAAAACAGGCAACGACAGGTAATTTATTCATTGTGAGCTGTTTGGTAGATTCCTGGTAGCTTTGGCAACTACCACACTTGATTTTGGCACTGCTTCCTAAGTGCTCTGGCCTCGTAAACCTTCGCAGGCAGTCCGTGAGAGTAGTGATTCCTGGTATGTGGCTTTCCCCGTTAACACTGCTCTCCCTCCCTGGGCTCATGGGCCAGAAGGAGGTACAAGAGCCGGGCAAGTCCAAACTGATGTCCCAGCATGGGTCTATTGTGGTGGAGACACCATGACAGGCTTGACAGGTGACATCAGATTGCAGGCCACCTGTGAAAATTTGGTCAATGATGCAGTTACAGTGGTTGGGATTGCTGGCCGCCTTCCCAGCATCATCACCTTTGCAGTGCCTGTGCAGGACATCTAACGCTGCGATGAGAAACTCATGCGCATCCTGTTGCCTGTACCCTGCTAAATGCCGTGCGTGTATCCATACCAGGTGCAGCAACTTATAGGGAACATGAGGAGATGGGTTTCCAGAATACAACTCTCGAAAAAGCGAAGACATCTCACAGACCAGACACAACTCCGGACTCGGCATTTCACATCTGTGCCTGTCAGAGAGGAAAAAATCTCTCAGGATCGGAGTGTGGGTAAGGGCCTGGACGATGCAGTTCATAAAGCACGTGTTGCCAAGATTGATCAGTCCTCTTAAACCGATGGTAAAGCTGGAGGCGATTCTTCTTCTCCTAGGGTTGTGGCCCAGCAGTTCTAACTCAGGTTTGGTTGTCTCCCAGGTTGGATACTTCTCACCGAGGCCTGGCATTGAATACTGCTGGTGAGAAACCTCGGTCGAGGTGGAGGCTTGTAATTTCAAAGCTTCCCCTTGCTCTTCTTTGGCAATTTGCTCAATGTCTTTGTCATATACATAGTCCTTACACATAAAGCAGTATATACCTCCGTAATAAAGGTCTACTGCTAAGTTGTGTTGTTTTGTCTCGGCGTGCTCATGAATGTGCTTCTCTGTGAAGCAGCCAAAGAAGACACAGGAAAGGCAAGAGTGGAGTCTGTTCAAATGGGTGCCACACACATGGCAGATACACGACTTTGCCTTGCTTTTCCTGGTCTCTGGGGTTCCACACCACACGAAGCACTGGTAGATCACCCGCAGTTCCTGCCTCCAGTTCTCTCCCACCTTAAAGCTGTTCACGTGGGAACAGCCTGGTGGACCCACCGCGAAATCCACATCCAGGCACCCGCCCCCAGGGCCGCGCCGGGGCCGGGGCCGGGGCGGGGGCCGGCAGCCTCCCTGTCAGAGGCCCCCGGGGAGCAGCGAAGAACACAGGTTCTCACCCCAGACGGGCAGCAAGAGACGTGGGTGGGGAGAGGAACCTCGTCTCTGCCGCCGCCACCGCCACTCCGCGCCGGGTTCTCATCCTCAGGCTCCGGCTTCGGCTCCCCCTTCGGCTCCTGCTCCGCCTCCCGTGCCGGCTCGGGTTCAGGTTCGGGCTCCAGCTTGAGCTCTACCCGGCGTCCCGGACCCTCCACAGTCTCCACCTTCCCGGTGGCGTCCACCTTCCCAGCCGCCTCCACCTTCCCCGCCGCCTCTACCTTCCCCTCCACCTTCGCCTCCGCCTCCACCTTCCTCTCCGCCTTCTCCGCCGTCTCTGCCGTCTCCGCCTCCTCTGCTCCTCCGCCTCCACTGGCAGCGGCTCCTCCCCCTAATCGCAGGGCTGGGGCGGCCACTGGGCGTGGCGGCGCGGGGGCCACGCAGACCAGGGGTGTCCCCCGTCCGGCCTGAGGGAGCACGGTGGCTGTGGCAGCTGGACCCAAAAGGGACTTTCACTGAAGGAGGCGGCGGCGGAAGCAGGCGACGCCCCCGGGAATCCTCCTGCCGTAGCCCCCTAGCGGAGGCCGCTCTGCAGCCAGGTCCGGTTTCCTTTAATTCAATATTTCCCAAACTTGCTTGTTCACGAGAATCACGTGGGGAGCGTGTTAAAATTACAGATTCCTCGGCTCCACCCGCAGCCCCACTGAATCAGAATCCCGAAGGAACATGCTCCGGAACCTGTATCTTTAACTAGGGCCCGAGCAGATTCTTATGAGCAGGCAAGTTTGAGAAACACAGCTCTAATTCATTGAGGCTGGCGGGAAGGGGGGCGGGGACCGCGCAGTCTCTTTAAGGCGCTTCCAGTTCTCGGCTCCAATCGCTGCTCTGACCCCTTTCATCGTCTCCTCCCCTCTCTCCGTCCTTCCCTTCGTCCATGCAGCCTCCCCCAGCACTGCGGGGCCAGGGATAGAGGGGTATCCTAGTCCAGAAACGTCCCTGGGGCTGGGAAACATCCCCCCAGAGGCCGGGTCGGGAGGAGCGCTGGCAGAAGCGGTGATCAGCCAGCATCTCTGAGGCTGAGCAGGTTCCCATCCCTGTCTGAGGCTCCCCGCCCACCCCAGGTTCTGCCCTGCCCCATAAGAACGAAGCTCTATTCTGGGGCAGGCCTGGACCCTGGATACGGAGGGGCAGAGTTCGCAAGGCCATTGGGCCCCAAGAGGCACATCCCATGCTCATCTTATCGGTGCTCTGTGCTGTCCGTGCCTGCTCCTTGCCTCCTCTGCACCTTTCCTTCGGGCTCCCAAGGCCACGGGTGGGCTGAGGTTTTGGCAGCCAGCCTTTTGGCCCAGGAGACGCTGAGCCAGCCGCCCCGGGGGGGTGGTGGGATGGCCAAGGCACAATAAGGCCTGGCCTACTGCTGGCAGCTGAGAGAGGGGCCTGAACTAAGACCCTCAAGCCCAGCAGAGACCCGGCCCAGGCAGCAGGTGGGAGTGGCAGAAAACCAGCTTCCATCTGCGGAGCCGCCAGTCAGGGGGAGGGGTGGCCATGCATCTTTGGGACCCCACTGTGCTGAGCTGGGAGCCATGGGGAGCAGCACCTAGGGGCTCACAAAGACTGAGCCCAGAGCAAGTGGCTTGGGTCTTGGGCAACTTGGGGAAGTTGGGAAGCAGCTGTAGGTGCTGGTCCCGGGGAGTGCAGCCCAGGGCAGGTGTCAGGATGAGGCTCACGAGGAGCAGTGTGTTCCAGGAAGAGTCTGGTGCTTGAGCCCCAGTGATGGCAGCCCTTGGCCCAGTACATAATACCCGGCCTGTAGGGCTATGCTGCCCTATTACATTGTGGCCGAGTTCTCCCTGATTAGTGTGGATATCACCCTCCACCTGGCCCCCTCCTCCAGGTAGGGGTTAGTGCCTAGGCCTCCCAGGGTCAGCAGCAGGGGTTGGTTGTCAGGAATCACAAGCCCTTAAGAAGGATAAAGGACTTCCCTTGTGGCTTAGCTGGTAAAGCATCCACCTGCAATGTGGGAGACCTGGGTTCGATCCCTAGGTTGGGAAGATCCCCTGGAGAAGGGAAAAGCTACCCACTCCAGTATTCTGGCTTGGAGAATTCCATGAACTGTAAGTCCATGGGGTCACAAAGAGTCGGACACCACCCAGTGACTTTCACTTCTTTAAAGAGGATAGAATGCTGGTTCCCATACACCTGAGGTCCCCAGAACTGCCCTGGTGTCTCCCCTTCCTAAACCAACTCTTGTTCCCATCCCTTGAAGCATCCAAGTATCCTTCCAATAAATGCCTGCCCTTTTTGGCCCGCAACAAGAGGAACTACAACTAGAGCACCCACTGAAGGAATCCTGCTCCTATAAGGGTGGGGGTGGGGAGGCACAAGAAATACTCTCATCCCACCTCCACAGGGTAACAGACACCAAAGTGACCTAAAAATCTCAGTGTACCCAAGGCTATCTCCCACTGATGACTAACCATGGCAACCTGACAGCTTTACTGATCATCTTCCTGCAGAAGCCCACATGTCCAGCACGTTAAGGAAGAAGTGGAGGCCAGGGCGGTGGAGGGGAGGTGGTGAGTGCGGGGTGGGGGTTGTGCACTCTGCCATCCACTCACTCAGCAAATGTCTATTCAACGCCAACCCAGACCAGGTGTTGCACTAGGAGCTGTGAAACCAGCACCGAACCAAACAAACTTGCCCCAGGGGCCAGAAACAGGAGTGGGTTCCCCAAAAGGCAGACTGAGGAAGTGTCTAGGTCACCAGTAGAGAAAAGACACCCAAAACAGAAGAATCAAGAAAAGAATATCAGAAATAGTTCATTTGATTTTTTTAAAGCAGTCCTCATGGGAAAAGTCAGAACTTTGTTGCACTTCTTACATTCCTTTCCTGATTGCATGTTGCTTTTGCTCTGAATCACATGGAGAGGGGCAGGTGTCAGCATAATCCTTTTGATACTTCTTGCTTGTTTGAGTCTGGATTCAGTCCCAGGCGAATGCTACCATCTCAGCCTCACAAAGACCTGATGGAAGCATAGCTGAAGGGGCTGACCTAAGGAGAGACCCCTTCCTCATTACAGCACCTTGTCTGGAGTTGAATACAACTCTGGCCACAAGGTGGCAAATGAGTATATGATGCTCCCTCTGATATTTATTTTGTATGTTTATATAAAACTATTGGTTTATAACAATGCTCTCTAAAAATATCTTTAACATTGTGCTCCTTCACACGTATTTAGGTTGACATCTCAAATTTTGCATCCAAAATGTCAAACTGCAAATAATGTAATTTCTGACAAATATTAACATTCACAAACAAAACATCACGGTTTTATATGAAAGCAGTGAAACCTAAATCCGTTAGTGATTTGAGAGCCACCGTCATCAGTTTTAAAAATTCATAAATGAGCTCTTCTTTGACAGTTTGGGAGGTGTATCTTTTCCCTTTTCTCCCTGAGTTCTCAATTCCCTCTTATTCTAACAGAATTTTATCCCAATAATACATATTTTTTAAACTTGAAATGATTTTATTGATTATCCTACCAGATTTCTCTGTAGTAAAAATGTGTATATTTTGCTATTTAAATGCTTTTTAAAAGTTCCTGTGATCCTAAAGCTGTAAATGTTGTTCACAATTTAGTCTTGCTTGTGTTATCATGACAATTAGTATTGGAATACAATGGATCAAAAAATTATAAACATATTACAAATTTTGATGTGTAATTATTAAACAAAAAAACAAAAATTTACTAGTGATGTAAGTCTTGTTTATAAAAGGTGGTGAGTGTATTAATAGATAAATATTGCTTATTTTAGAATGAAGCAGGATTCAGCATCAGTTCTCTTCCAACTTTTTGTTTTTGGTTAAACCACACATAGAAACCTTGTTTATATAAATAAGTAAATAGGAATGGACATTTTGTTTTAGAAATGTCACTCAAGTATTTGAATTCCTTTGAAGACATATGGGGGAAAATTACACAATGATTTATCTTCAAAATTATTTCTCATGATTTGTCAGCTGACAGCTCAATTGGGTTTGCCTTCAATTTTACTGGAAGCCAGCTGAGTTGAAACAGGATTTGTAACATTATATACATTTGTTATACCAGTTTGTTTCTTCACCATTGGCAGCAGTGTTTGGAACTGTCTCTCTGGTACCCTGAGGATTTTACACTGTGGGGCAGTGCACCCAGGTAAGATTTGGGATGGATCAAAGATATGTTTTTCTTTTGTAAAGTGCAAAGAGAACTATTTGTGAAAAGGGATATGGAAAAAGAACCGGCTTAATTTTTTCACTACTAGTGTATTCTCTAGCAGATCAATTTTAGGAAACATGAAAATGAAATTTGAGGATGTAGAAATTGATCCCCTTCAAACTCTAAGTGCTTATTTACCCCCTTGGAAAGTCTTCCTATACCCCCAGGGTAATGCACACTCCACTTTTAAGGTTACTTGTTGATATTTATTATTATAAAAGCAATATATACAATATTTGTAGCTATAAAAAGATGAAAGAAGGCATAACATGAAAAGTTAAAGCCCCTCCCCTGCCAATCAAACCCAGTTTTATTCCCCTCAAACAACCACTTGGGCTTATCCTGGTAGCTCAGAGGTTAAAGCGTCTGCCTGCAATGTGGGAGACCCAGGTTCTATCCCTGGGTCGGGAAGATCCCCTGGAGAAGGAAATGGCAACCCACTCCAGTACTCTTGCCTGGAGAATCCCATGGAGGGAGAAGCCTGGTAGGCTACAGTCCACGGGGTCGCAAAGAGTTGGACACGACTGAGTGACTTCACTAAACAACCACTTGTTAACAGTTTCTAATGTATCCTTTGAGAAATTTTCTATACCAATACAAGCGTGTTCCATACAGTCATCCATTTTATGAAAAATAAATGAGGCTGTAATATACATATGGATCAACAACTTAGCATTCTATGCTAGACATCAGACAGTGCTAAGTTGATGTACACAACCAATGCAATGCCAATAAAAATGTCAGTAAATTTTTTGGAGGAAATTTTTACGAACTTAATATGGAGGAATAAAAGGCATTTCCTCCTTCTTCATTTCTCCTTCCTCTCTGAAATGAGGATTTAATGGCTATAGCTGAGTAGCCATCTTGCAATCAAAAACTGATTACCTCAGGACCTAATCTTACATGAGAAAAAAATAGCATATTATGCTACCAACCCTGAAAGTTACATCTCTCTTTATGCTTCAATATCTCTGAAATCTTTGAATGACAGCTTCTGGATTATGTTTGCCAGCATTTTTTTCCTCTTTCTTGGTACATAAAATAATGATGTGTCCTAGAATCAATATAATACTCA